CAAGGAGCGGGGCGTTACACCACAACTCGAGAATAAGCACACCCAACAACACAGAAAGAAGAAAGACAACACACATAAACCAACAACAAACCAGACTACAAATGACACAAACAAAAAAACCCAAGAAAAAAAAAAAAGCGAAAAAAAAGAAAAGGCCCTCCACAACCGCTCAAACACCGAGCCACACGCACAAACAGTCGCGACAGGAAAACAGAAACACGACTCAGTCAAGATCTAGAAACTGCAATCTGCAAACAAGGCCAAACTAAACCCGCAAACACGAGTCGAACCTCCTACCGGAAACACCCGATCCAACCAAAGAGACCCCCAACACCAAACAGGTCAACAACAATCGGTTGTCCACCACTGCCGGCAACCCAAAGCCCCCACCGTCGGACCACCCACCCCAACACCACCAGGAGACAAGATGGCCCGGGGAGCACACCGCAACAAAATATATAGAAAATAATTGCAAAACTCATGAAGCTGGCAAAATTGGGCACAAAAGCAAGATTGCACTATGCTATAATAAAAGGCATGTCCAGTAGTTCTCTTGGTCACGTAATATACAAGGGATAAAAACCCAACACAACGAAAATCCACTCAACTATCTGCCAACAAAAACTGAACTAGCATACATTGTAGTAGCCACAACAGAGAACATTACAAATATGGAACAATTGTTTGTGCCTCCATGTACAGGAAGCACAGCGTGCAACCCGAAACAGCTATAACTAAATTCAGTAGTATTCCAAAACACATGAATAAATTTAAACATTCGTGTTTAAATCTGAGCTATTGCCTGCAACAGAATTACTTTTCCTCTCTGCTTGGAGTGACCGACATAATGACTCGAGCTTTTCCTTCTGTTTTCTTGTTTTTTCCAGTTGTTTCTTCAAAAGTTCACGCTGTAACCAAATAAATAAAATTATCTTTCGGGTGAAATAAATCAGGGATAAAATATTGACCAGAAGCACTGGTCGTCTTAGAGATTGCCAAAACAAAAAAACCTTTTCACCTTTTTTTTTTCTTTCTTACAAATTACAAACTTAATTTAAATTTCATAGACTTTTAAGGGTGTCTTCTCTTTATCAGGTAAGTAAGTCGAACATTAAGGATGGTTTAATAATTTTATCCCAATCCTGAATGAACCAGAATCAGGCATTAACAGAAATATGAAATATAAACAAACTAAAAGGCCTGGGTAGAAGTCATACATCAAGGACCCAAATTAATTGCATGATTACAATATTCAAATGCCAGAAAACAAAATTTAACATTGATGCAAGCTCAAGAAAGGCGAAAGGGGGAAGTTAATGATGAACGGGAAGTCATTGCATTACAATAAACACCAAATTCCAGGTACAAAGAAATATTTTAACACAATAGAAACTAAAATAAGTATCATGTGTGGAATTTTACTCCAACATTATTCCAGAGGTGTATAAGAAAAAGATTACCTCATTGGCAAGTTCAATAATGGTCACATCAGTTTTCTCACATTTGCCCTTCAATGAGTTGTTTTCCTTTTTGAGTTCTTTTATTGATTTCGCCATCTGGATTTCATGCAGAGACATTTGGTTCGAGAAGTAAACAAAACATGGATCAAGAAGAGCAGAATACAGCCAAAAGATGTCGAAGAAAACATACCTTCTCGATTTCTTGCTTGAATGTTTCAAAAACCTCATTGCTTTTCAATAATGCTTCCTGGAAAATTTTACCAAGTTAAAATTTGTAAAGTTCAAGACAAAACTATACATCAATTGTGGTATTAGTTAGTTAAATGATAATTGGATATTTCTGTAACTAGGGCAAACAACAGGGGGTTTCCGTAGTTAATCCAGAATTACCTGAAATTGCTGGAATTTTTCACCGTCAGCTGTTAACTGTAACCTCAAGTTCTTTTCAGTTGCTAAGAGTTGGGCCACTTGTTCAGCATACAATTTCATCTGAGATTTTTCCTGCTTCAACTTCTCTTCGTGCTGCTGGAGCTTTAAATCAGAAAGCTGAAGTTCAAGAGTTTTCTGTTTGAGCTGCAAAAAAGGAAACAGCGTAAGAGAAAATCAAATCATGCAACAAACACTTGAAGAGGATTACAAGCTCGTTGAATAAGCACAAACTCTTTAGCTAGGAGAGCAGCTTTTTACCTGCTGTGCATGTTGCTGCTCGGAAAGAGTGTACTGATCGACCAGCTGTTTTAACTTGGTCTTCAACCTGGAGTTTAAGAAGGATTTTTTTTTTTAAACTTGTAAATGCCAAACATTAATATTAAAAGAGCAGACATTTCATTGTCATGCTTTTTGCAGTTATCCCAAAAGAACTCTCAAGTCTCAACACTGCAATCGAGTTTCTATCTTACTCCCTCTATTTTTATTTTTTATTTTTTAATAAAAAGTGCCAGGAAATCATGAAGGTCAAGAAAGGTGTTCTTCAAAAAATAAAAAAAAAAACTGGGTTTCCCTAACTAAATATTAGCAGAAAATGTGCGTATTGTTTGTGTGAGTGTGTGTATGCAAGAATGGGTATGTGTGTGTGTGTGTGTGTGTGTGTGAGAGAGAGAGAGAGAGAGAGAGAGAGAAAGACAGCAGCAGATTTATTTGTTCTTCAAAATATTTGGAAAAATTATGCGATATGATCCAATGCCAATGGAAAAGAACTGATTGGTGCTTTCATATAAATTTGCAAACTATTTGATGAACGTAGGAAACCGTTTCACATTCATAGCAGGCACATTTTCAGAATGGAACTTGAGCACTAAATGACCCTTTGAATTAAACAAGACAAACCTTCATAAAACTATGAACAAATTACATGTTGCTGCAAGAGGTCATTGTTCACAAAGTACCATTCAGCTAATATAGCAAATATGTCATGAGGGTGTTCATTAACGAGAAACCTAATCAAGCCACTTTTCAAAACTATGTTGCATTATGCATTCATGAAGATTAGCATTGCACTAGTACAGTCAATCATCCAAAGGTTCTACAGTATTTGATGGAATATAATCCTGGTTTTTCTTTTTTACTTAACATTTTTTTTTTTTTCCTTACATTTCGTTCTCTTTTAGCTGATATATACTTTCATCCTTCTGCTCCTCCAGCTTTTTGCTTACTTCCTACAACAGAACGAGGGTAATATAAACAAAAAAGAAAGCACCAAGTTCAAGGTTGACAGCAACACAAGAAATATTAATATTAAGGTGCAAAATTTTGGAAGAACAATATGCTAGTGAAGTGACAGGCTGGCACATATTGCTTACTACTTAGTGCAACAAGTACAGAGTACAGACTCAGTCAACAAATATTACACCCAGCTTTTTGCAAGCAGAAGGGTAGATACTTTTATATACATGCACCAAAATATATCGTTTTGTGCAGTCATCCAGGGTATGATAATTTAAGTACTTGCTTCAAACTTACAGACACGCATTTGTTTTCCAAACTCTTTGGAATTCAGAGATGATAATGAATTGGGCATGTTTACATTGACAAACAGAAACCAAATGCCAATATTGGAGGGTTATCTTGCAATTGATTGCGATCATAAATACTAAATACAAAAGGTAGCTTCATAATAGATTATAAAAATAAGTAAATAAAAATGAGAACCTTAATTGCATCTTGAAACTTGTCTGACAGGTCTAATCTCAAATTTTGACCCTCCCTGGAAACTCGCTTGCATTCTTCCTGGTGTAAAAGAACCAGCTAGTAAGAAAAAGTCTGACTATCATAAAAAATAATACTTTTAATAAATGCAAGGTACTTTTTAGCTAAGTTAGCGAGGAAAATATGGAAAGTGGAAATTACTATATATCAGTGTTCTAAAATCGAGCTAGGGGACCCGGATTCCCAGTTCGTTTAGGCAGCTCTTCTAGGCGGGCTAGGCAACGCCTAGCAGGTCCAAGTGGTTGCAAAGTTAGTCGTGACTAGACTAATTAGAGCCCAGGCGCCGCCTAGGCACCTGTATAATTTTTCTTTCTTTCCTTTTTTTTTTTTGTTTTACATTTTTCAATTTATTTTCAAAATATATAAAAATAGATTTGATTTTTATACATGAAATGTACACTAATTATAAAAATAAAAAATAACAATTTAAGCACATAGTATTTTTGAAAATATTTGTATTTAATCATAATAATTAATATAGTTTATAAAATGTATTTTGTAAAGTATTAATGATTATAAATATAAACAAATTATTAATATTATTACGACCTTGCCCACTCCCTGTCGAATCCCCACCTAGGCGCTAGGCTCCAGTCCGCCACCTAGCGAGTGCCTAGAGCTCTATAGAACTTTGTTATATACCAAAACATCAACATCATCTTCATTCACTATAGTCACACAAGTCAAGAAATACATCCTAATAAGCCAAAAAACTAAGTAAAAAGATTCCAAAATCTGTCAGAATCCATAAAATAGCATATGAAAACATGGTTTGGACATGCTTTTCATTGTACCTCAATGCCAGGCATCCACGGGTAATCATCAAACAAGAACGCCAAACGACACTATAGGCCTCCATATAATTTCAGGATTATATTCACCATATTGTGTTGAAATGGGTTGATAATTTAGAACGAAAATAAGCTGGAAGATATGATCTTAACACACAAAGTAAATAAGTAATTACCATTAACTCTTTATTTTGTCCTTGCAGCACCCGGCACAATGATTCAAGTTTATCTCTAACGGCAACAGCTATAGAGGAGAGAAATACATAGATAAGCAAATAAAATCGATGTCTCCAGCACAAGTACTAAGGGGTATATTCTCATTGAAAGAAATAAATATCTGAGTAAATAGTTACAATACACCCAGACTTTTCAAGATCAGTTCAGCAACAATTCTGTAACTATATATTGCTACAAGCCACATTAGGAAGCATGTGGTGAGATTGTACTATTCTCGGATTTTCAAAACATAAAATATGAAAGTTAACAGAAACAGAAATAGGTTGAACTACAAAACTGACATTCAGTAAAGTATAATGAAAACTACACGTATGCAAACTGACAGCGTGAAACAAAATCACCAACCCGAATCTCTTTCGGCAATGACTTGTTGATACTTCAGAGTGAACTCCAAAAATTCCTTCTCTGATTTGAAGGTACGTTTTACATTTTTACGCTTCACTTCAGAAAAATCCTGACAAATGCATCGAAGATGAGAGGTACCAAAAGATTCAGATTACTATATAGCAAAACATGGAATAGCAGAATATCAAATTATAAATTTGATGACATGTTCCAACTACAGTAAACTTTCATCGAAGGGTCCACAAGACTGACTAGAAAATTAAGGTCAAAACAATTCCAATCCAATTGATAAATGGGCTTGGGTATATATCATCCCCACAAAGCTAGCTCAAAGGAAGAGGGTGCCCAACCCACACTTAAACACA